GGCGCCACTGCCGCAGTACGGATAGCGGCTTCCTGCTGCAGCCCCTGCTGCTGTTGCTGCTCCTGCTGTTGCTGCTGGAGACGACGAGCGAGGTGTCCGTACACCTGAAATGAAAGCTGAGCTGCGCTGTCTCTCCTCCAGGGGCTGTCGCAGCAGCGCAGCACCTGAAGAACCTGCTGCTGCTGTTGCTGCCGCTGCTGCTGCTCCTGCTCCAGAGGAGACACTTCTTCTGCGCGTAAGAGACCCCCGCGGCGTCCCTGCTGAAGCAGCAGCCGCAGCAGCAGCAGCAAACTGGCTACTGCAGCGGGAAGTCCCCTGATAGAGGCAAGGTGAGGACGCCCGGATGGTTGTTGCTGCTGGCGTTGCTGCTGCTGCTGCTGCTGAGGCTTCTTTTGATGCGAGATATCCTGTGGCCCGTGGGACTTTGGAAAAGCTACAACGGGCTGCTGCCGCTGCTGCTGTTGCTGCTGCTGCTACCTGGGGAGCCGGGTACTTGGCTGCGCCCCACATGTTGCTGCTGCTGCTGCTGCTGGTGCGCCGCAGTGTGCTGCTCTCTGCTGCTGCTGCACTGACGGGGCTGACAGGTGACCTGCTTCGCAGCGCGCTGTCCCCACTCTGCTGCTGGAGCTGCTGCAGCTGCTGCAGCTGCTGCTGGCGGCGGAGATGCCGCTGCATGCTGCTTGGGGCTTGGAAAGAAGCAGCAGGAGGAACTGGCTCCACTGCTGCTGTTGCTGCAGCTGCTGCAGCTGCTGCTGCTGCTGCTGTGTGAGGAGCTGCAGCTGGTGCTGGAGCAGCCGTTGGTGTTTCCCTTGTTCTGCACTCGCGAGCCAAACGATGAATGCGCTGCTGCTGCTGCTGCTGTTGCAGCAGCAAGGACGAGTCTGCTGTTGCAGACGTGGGGGAGGCCCTCTGCCATCTTTCCTGTTTAGCAGCAGCAGCTCTCTGGCGCTGCAGCTGCAGCAGCAGCTGTTGCTGCTGTCGCAGTTCCTCTTGCTGCTTTTGCAGCAGCAGCTGCTGCTGCTTCAGCTGCTGCTGTTGCTGTTCTTGCTGTAGGTCCAACTGTTGCTGCTGCCGCTGCTGCTGCTGCAAGAGCAGCAGCTCACTCTGCCTCTGGGTGCGTCCGGAGAAGGGCAGAAACGAACTGCGAGGTGCTGCTGCTGCTGCTCCTGCTGCCGCTGTTGCTGCTGCTGCTGTTGGTTCTAGAGAGGATGTGGGCTCTTCTGCTGCTTCCAGGCCTCGCCTGTAGATCGCAGCGCCGCTTCTACTGGGGCGGCCTGCTACGC